TTGGGTGAAATTTTAAGATGTAAGATTTGGGATTTAGCATAATTTCAACCATTTATGGGACAAAAAAATTTAGAATAATGATAATACATCGAAAGAAATATTAGCAAACTCATTCTAACATTTTCTTTCTAATATTTTTCGCGATAAAAAATCACAAGTTTTGATAGATCTTACTACTAAATTAAGATAACGATTCATTAAATAAGATCTAAGATTTACAAAATTTGTGTTTTTAATAAATTTTAACAAATACTATATAGTGTTAGTAAGTGAGTCTTAAAGAGAGTGTAGTCAACACTCCTCTCTAAACATATACTATCTCTATTCTCTACATTACAATGAATACTACCATAATTGCTACTATTAAGTATGTTTTTATCATACAAACTAATTGATATTTTGCTTAATATTACTTAAGTGTCTAGATATCTATGCATGCAACTCTCTCAACGATTCACTTGGAGGTCATCTACTTCATTCTTGATTGAATCCATAACAAAGCGTTTGGAGGTTGAAATTATTGTGGAATGGAGAAGACAAGGCACTACTAGATTTTAATGTATTAGCAACATTTTCTTGTTTATATTTGTTAAAATGTTACTAATTTTCAAAATCAAAGTCCTATATCGAGTCAAAAAAATTTACATAAGTTATTTTGCAACATTTTTTAAAAAAATGTTATTATAATTGCTTCTAAAATCAAAGTCCCACATCGAGTCAAAAAAAGTATATTCTCTTATATCTAATTGTATATTTAAGATAAATGAAATTTGATATTCTATATATAATTAGTGGTGACTAACTAAAAATGTTTTTCCCTAAAAATTTAAGGAACTCCTAGAAATTTAGTTTATGAGACATAAAAATATAATAATTGATAATAATATTTAAATTAAAATTAATTATTATTTTATAAAGTTATCAAAATCTTGGCAACATCATTAAAATGTTACAAAAAATTATTAAAATGTCACAAAAATACTATTTTGATAACATTTAAAAAATGTTACCTAATTATACAAAAAATATTATTAAAAGTCTTTAGTAACATGGACTATATACAACATTTGATAATATGTTACTAAAACAAATTAGCAACATTTATACATAATTAAGTAACATTTTTCAAATGTTGCTAAATACCATTTGTGTTGTAGTGAGGGAGGGAAGTGAATTTTTTTTTTAAAAAAAAATTCATGTTATTAATTGGTAGAATGAAATTAAGGAGGATCGAGAAAATTGTGTGGATCTCACACTAAATTTCTTATTTCTAAAACGATGTGAATTTAAAAGAAATTAATATGCTCAAAACTTTGATGAAAAAAATATCCTTTTGACTACCCTTTTGTTAGAATAATCTTTTGTGGCAAGACCCTAATCTATTATTGTAGCATGTAATTTGTGTACAGAAAATCACCATAATTGACTATGGTGGGATCATAATTCACTATGACTTGTTAGTGCATATTTGAATTTTCGTTTGAGGAGCTTCAAACAAACAATCCCAATTTCCCAAGCACAAAATAGAGAAGTATGAAATATTTTCAGATAAACATATGTTTATGCTTAGATAAACGTTTATACAAACACATGTTTAAAAGTAAAGCAAAATCACATAATTTATTGAATAATTGACATAATTGATTTGATTATGTAACCATGGTAAAAATGAGCATTAAATACAATATAATATAATTGATTATCTCGCCTAGCATAATTAATTATACTAAAACATTATAAAAATCAAATAATATACATAAAAAACATAGACAAGAGATAAAATAATAAGTGATTAAATTATTTATTTTACATAAATCTTTAACTCTATAAAAATAATTTCTAAAATACTAATTTCAAACCTAATGTCATCTTACTAAAGAGCTATAATTTTCACTTTAATTTTTTTTTATTTATTTCTCGTGAAATAATTTTGCACCTATTTCTTCATTTTTCTTTGGATTTTTCCCCTTCCCAAACAAAGCGTAACGATTACAGGTGAAAAGCTTCTTAATCTACACTACACGGTTGCAAGTTGTTGATGTTTCTGAAATAATAATATTGAATTGAAAGTTGTCTCTGATAGAATGAGAATAGCAAAACCTTCAAACTATGAACCATTTCGTGTCCCAAAACTATGGGCCTTCAGTTTCTTTACAGTTACATGTGCAACTGGGGTTCCACACAGCAAATGAGTCAATAACTTTCAATAATTTCATAAAAGTACAATAATACTTTTTTTTTTCTTCTTGAGATTGTATTTTAAACCGACAATTTAAACTAGAAAAGAAACAGATTTTTATATATTTATTATCTGATTTGTTTGTCGGCAAATAGGTGAGTAACACATGCGTGGTCGACAAGTACCACTCAGCATCAACTTGAACATTAAAAATAAACACTCTTTTTGCTAAGAAATTGTACACCCTAACGAAACATTGGACCCTTTACTTTATGCAAGAGTTGGGACTCACCATTGCACTCAAACCCATTTTTGTTCAACCATACAAAATATATGTACTATGTCATGAAGATTGAATACTATCTTTAAATTGTGAATGTTTGGTCTATACCGTTTGCATTTATTAAAATTGGAACAGTCTGTCTTAATCTTTTCCTTTATTAGCTAATAATAGCATGGCAAATTCGAGTTTATTCACAAATATATATGATTAGAAATCATCATTAATGTCCTCCAAAAAAAATCATCATTAATATTGAGATAACCATATTCGTCATAATTCGTCACATACTAGAAAGCAATTCTCTTGGCCAAATCCTAGTTTTCCGAGAAGGAAATAATAATTTGGCATGAAACAAACGTGACGTTATCCGAAAAAAAAAAAAGCAACAGAAAAATGAGTTAGAGAACCTGAAATCAATCCCCGTTGATATTTTGGGACTAATTCCGGAAAAATATTTATATACTAATGATCATTTTGAGAAACACAAGTTGACACTAGTGGTTAAAATTTAGTACGAACTCTTATGTTTTTCATGAGGTTTCAAATTTTTCCAAAAACGAAATATCACTTTTTCTATTTAGTGAACAAGCCTTTCAAAGCATGATATTTAAGGATTAATTTTGTGTGATTTTTTTAATATAAATTAACTTATATACAAGCTAATTTTAATTTATAGAAAAATTTATTTTATTTCGTTTAGACATGGTCGAGAAAAAATTTACTCAAACATAATTGAAATCACTTGTGATTAAGTAAGTGCACTAAACTTAAGTGAACTTAATCAAGTCTCTTGATCCAATAGTTATAAGATTTGTCTTAGACCCAATAGTTATAAGATGTATACTATGACAGAAGGTCAACAAGATATTTTAAAGATTGATTATTATTTGTGTTAAAATAATATTTGGTCAAACATATTCTACAAGTACAAATTAGTTTGGTAATATTGGAAATGTGTCCCCGTTCTAACATTATTTGTGAGGAAAAGAAATATAAATATAGTTATGATCTTGATCTAATCTAATGATGTTTTTAATTGAACATTAATAGTACGCATTATATTGTTAATGCAATAGTTGCCCATAGTTGGATTCTTACTCCATAACAGTGATGATAAAGAAGAACGCGGATTGGGAGACATGTGAGGACATGATTTCAAAATGAAAAAGAAAGAAAAAGGCTTGTTGGTTGTTATGCTTTCACGCGACGTTAAGCATCATCATGCATGTCCAAACCATGCGAAAGCGAATAATAGTATGATGCTTATCCTTTACACTACTGCCACGGGCCAAAATACAACGGAGCAACCAAACAAACCAAAACATGCTCATGTTATCTGCTTCAATAGTCAAGCTTTTTTTTCTTCTTCTTCTTCTTCATATTATCTTAAACCTTTATCATAGGATTCAAATTTTTAAATTCACTTGCTTCTTTTTCTTTTTGAAACATATATTAAGTGTTTTAATTAATTATTTTGATCCTAAAATAAAGACAAGAATTAGTATTACGTTGCACGCTAGATAACAAGAGTTATCTTTTGTTTCTTTGGTTCTTTTGCACATTAACCTTTTCTCTCTTGGACTAAAGCAGAGGTTGGAGAGATAAAACAACTCTCATCAAATGTTTTTCCATGTTTGAAAGATAGAAGTGGTTATTAACTATGTCACACTTTATTAGCGATCATATTAATTATTGAATAAAGATACAATATCTATCATTTATAATGACTGTTTAACATGCGTATTTTTTTAATTTTCACGTCAAATCCATGTAAAAACGCATGAGTTATGTATATTTGCTTTAGATTGAACGTGGATCCACTGTTCCACTATTGATGATTAAGTGCTTTTTAAAAATGTTTTCAAGATAAATACATTATTTCTAATCAACATTTTCTTCAATTAAGCAATATTATTAGATTTGTAAGAGGATAAACAAGAGGATTTGACATTTCTCTACGCAATTAGAGAGAATATCCAAACTCATAATATACAAGAGGGTAGGCATAGCGTGCCCAACTCATTTATTGGTGAGCCATTTATGTCATGCCAACTCATCTGTGATTACTCGCAACAACTGAACATGATATGCAAATAAACACACAGATCATACACACACATCCTCCTTGAATGCATGGAAAATTACAACTTTCAAATTATACCTAATTGAGGTGCCAACAAACATTTAGCTGCATCTATCTCTACTTATCTAGCCACAATTGTTTTGCATATTTAGTAATACACTTGCAGCAATCAGCAATCAGCAATCATCAACCTACAAATCCATTGCGTGAAAGCATAATAACCGTGCACATTAGAAGGTCTAGTTTAAAGCAAAGTTAGCACATTATATTTCAAGCCAATTTGGTCTCTGCACACAGCCATACCTTATTTTTGTTTCTTTTATCATTCCATACTTTGCATATCACTGTTGAAAAGGGTGCTTGATTGGTTAAATTGAGGACTCTGATTAGATTTGGTATAAAAAACACAAGGTTGAGAAAATTTGAATCTATTAATGCTAACTAAAGAATCTATATTGCTCTCAAGCACATCATCTCTTTCATTTCCATTCTTGCATTATTTGCACTTCAGCAAATGTACAATATCCTACATATTGAACACATGACTATGTGCTACATCAGCGGTTAAAATGACAAAGAAAAATCAAGAAATGAACAATATGTTCGGTTTGGCGTCTCATGAAGAGGATTTGCCGCGTCAATTCAGAAGCGAAAAACTCTAGCTTCTACATTTCTCTAAACTTTTGACGCAGAAATCTCAATACATGCACATCAAAGAAGTGCAAACAAGCACACATGCAAGCAAGCACACAGACCCTTTTTCCCTTTTTCTTTCTGTTCACAGAAGAAAGCTAGCACTTAAAAGGAAGAGACGACAACACAACCATTTCATTTTAGCCATTGCCATACAATTGAAGATATACAACAGAACAGAAAGCTGGAGCAGATGAAAAAGTTGGCTTCTCTGCCCATCTTTGGTTGGTTACATGATTCTAACAGCCTATATTTCGGACTTTGACTCCCTGTCAAAGCTCTACTTTACTGTTAAGGTTGAGGACGGAGAAGCGTTAATTACAGAAGAAGATGGAGGAAGGCAATGTCTTTGGCTAATAGACAACTGAGGATTGGGTGAAGCCTCGTACCTGCTCGACTGGCTTCTCATTTTCTTCTTTTCTCCTTCTTGAGCCCTCTCTAACGTAACTTGGCGAACCTTTGTTTCGTTTAGGCTCGGCGGAAGAACACAATTGCAGAGAAAACCTTCACATTGAGAAGCAAACCTTACCATTAGAAATCATGAAATGCTTAGTAGTTGTTCAGAGGAACATAAGAAATTTACATGATAAATGGGAAAAAGTGCAGTGAAATAAAACAGCCAAAGATTTGAATTTCACAGGCATTATAAAAACTGGTAAAACATCTCTCCTGTCACCTAATGCAGGGGCTGAACAATTCCTATTGAATATTAACTATGTGTTTTTGATATTTAAAATTACTGATCATCAACTCAAACAAGAATTCAGACCTTTATTCATATCCAACAAAGTTAAGATGAAAAACAGCAGAGTCAGAAAATAATCAGAACCTAAAAACAGGAATAAAAAACATACATCAATCTGAAACATAACAATTAAATTTTAAAAGTAAATAGCCATATGACTACATATTGCACAGTCATGGTTGATAAATGAAAAACAACAGCAAATTCGTCTTCACCAGAACTTTGGTACTTCAATTTTGAAAGAGGACAAAGAGTGTTTGTGTTATTCTAGAATCTAGAGGCAAGGTAGCACATTGATCCCTCACAAAAACATCTTTTCAAATAGCAAAGAATTCATGATAAAATCTCCTGTCACACAATTGCCATAACCTCTTGCAAATCCTATAAACAAACATCTGAGAGAAAAATCAAGAAAACAACTAATCACAACACACTTTCCTATATCTCTTACCAATTCTAGCAAGCCGATTCACCCATCTTGGGATAGACTTTCCCGTTAACTTGAGACAAACATCATTGCAGAAATGGTTGCAATTTTTTTGGATAAGGTGGTAGGTGTTCCCAGAATACAATTCAGCCAGCTTCTCCATAAACATGCGAACCTCGTTCGGTCCCATATCCGTCGATCCAATGAAAATCGATTTCCTGAAGGTGAATCCAGGACAGTTCCTAGGCTCCACTTCAAAAATCCCGGTCGTGTCACGCTCATGAGCTCCAAACCCATATTCAACTCCATGAACTACAACAAAGAATTAAAGTCACCAAACAAGTTCCCAACTAACCAAAACCACCATAACAAAAAACACATCACACTATGGTGTTGTGTTGTATTAGTACATGAATGAACCCAATGACAAAGAAAACATCATAGCAAACAACAAAAATTCTACATCAGAGTGGTTTCAAACTTTTCACTATTTCCCCAACTCAACATCCAGCAGCTCAATCAAAACTACAACAATTATATCAAAAATAAAATTCAAGCAACCCAACAAACTTTACCCTTCAATTAATTCAAAAAATAGATAATTTCATATTATTCCATAACAATTGGGTGAAAAATTGTTTGTTTGGTGTTATTACATTATTAATTACTTAACATTTCAGAACCTTTTAGGCCTTATACAAAGCCCATTTTAACTTTCGTTGAAATTCAATTTAAATTTACACACACAAACCAATTCCACGGATCTGAACTGAAATTGGAAATACCCATCACCAAAAGTTTCTTCATTTCCTTCAGGAAATTGGAGGGGGAAAAAAGGGTTGGTTAGTTACCTTGAACACCAGAATGATAAACTCCAAGGCCAAACCAATAGGCGTAACCGTTAATTGGGGTCAGGTCGTAGACGTTAAGGTAAACCGGGTTCAAACCGGTTTTTTTCTTGCGCGAAACTGGAACGAGTTTACAAAACATTATGAAGAAGATGTTGTTTTGTTTTGGGTATGGTGGCTATGGAGAAGGGGTTAGAAGCGAAATGGAGAATCTAGAGAAAACCCAAGGGCATTTTGGGAAGGGTGGAAAAGAGTGTGGCCCTTGAAATTTTCTCTGGTTTTGGGTGATCCTAATGGTTCTTGCTTCTTCTCATTATATGATTGATGATATGTGCTCCTTCCCTTCGCTTTCGGAACACGGAGAAGAAACAGAATCTTGCACTGTGCTTCGCTCTCTGCCTTTGCTTTTTTTCATTTTTCTAGCTACGTTATTTATTGCTTCAGGGAACCTTTTCTTCACATCTAAACATTTTAATATTAATACCTTCATTTTTTATTCAGGATTTTGTTTTTTTGGATACACTCGTTTAAATTCCAATCAATTACACTTTCATTCAAACAAACCAAAATTGTTGTGTGTGTGATGTAATTTGTTTGACTTGAGTAATATAAGTATATAACTACCTTGTAAGTTTTTCAAATATGTATTGGAATTCACAGCATTAAAGCTTGAATTTAACAGGGTAAATTACATTTTTTTTATCTTGGATTATATATTAATACGTGATTTTGATCATTAAATTTTAATTTTACACTCAAATTTTATTAAAGATTTCTTAATTTTAATTTCATGATTTTAGTTTATTAAATTTTACAAATTTTGTCTTTTCATTGGATGTCACTTTGTTGATTGATAAAAAAAAATACTTATTTGTTGATAGTTAAAATTATAACATTATTTATGATCTTAAATAAATAATAATAATAATAATAATAATAATTAATATTTAACTAATATTTTAATATGTGTTTCTTTGGTGAAATAATAGGCAAAGGAATGGAATTGCTTATCTTGAAAAAATGAAGAGAAACTCATTATATAAGCTAAATTATTCATTATATTATTTCTGATTTTAATTATTAATAGTAAATTAAATTTTTTATCCTAATTATAAAAAATATTTATTAATTTTTAAAGTTACTCAAATTTCTTTTATAATCTTAATTAATTGTTAATTTTATTTTCTATACATTCACTTATAATTGGTATTAACTATAACAATCACTTATAACAAATGGTATCTTTGAAATAAAATTTGAACTAATGATATAATTAATTAAAAATAATCAACCTAATTATTTTTTTTAGTCTCAATGATTTATCCTATGGTTCTTATAATTAGGATCAGAGATAAAATATTACTAAGATTTATAACAATATACATACAAATAAATATTTTTAAATATATAAATTATATTTTAAATTTATAATAAATATTTATATTGTGACTTAAAATATTAAATATTGGGGAAGGGGTTAGGTAAAAATAGGAGAACCTAAATTCGATCATCATTACGTCTTTGTAATCTTTCCTATGAATAAAAAAATATTGTGAAAAAAATTTAAATTTTAAATAAATGTAATAAATAAAAATTAAATAGATAAGACATTAAAAAAATACCGATAAACTTTCTCATTGAAAAAAAAATGTCTAACAACACTCTTAATAAAGAAAAATCTTTAAAAAAATACTCTCATATCAAGTAGTTTATTCTTTATATTTAATATATAGGGTGGATATTCCTTGTGAACCTTTTTGAAACTTATAATAGAATCACAAACCATGAAATATATGTAATTATTTTAGTTGATTTTATAAAAGATATAATATATCTATTTTATCCTTATTATTGAATTGTTATGGGAGATGTATCTACTAGTCATGATTGTTACACTTAACAAAATCACTATTAGTAGTGGAAACTATACTACTATAACATATAAGATTTAGGGAAGGAAATATGACATACATATATATAATATGAATATATAAGTAAAACAACCGAAATAATATTAACAGGATATATACATGTTGTAACGTAGTAAGTTATTGTTTAGAGTTTAGTTAACTCTAGAAAGAAGGGTATATAAGGTTTTCTTTGATAACAAAACATCATAAGCTCATTCTCAAAGAAAATCTAGAGAGAAGTTTTAGAGAAAAGGGCTCTAGGTCTGTGAGCTCCTTTTCTCCTAAATTTCTCTACATGATTCCTCTTCTCTTCTAAATTACTAATCTCTTATATTTTTTCTTGGAATTCAGGCTTGGAAGCTTGTTTTGGAGGATTGAAGTCTGCGAGTCGAGCTTTGGGAGGGAATTCTTCTTCTTCTCATTCCTTGGCTATTCTGAGCCAAATTTTCAGGTGAGGGAAGCTAGAATGTAGGTTGTTTGATTGCATGTGAGTTAAGGGACTTAATTGATGCATGAGTTTTGAGAATCAATGGTTGAATTAAAGGATTTGCTCATTTCGGGGTTTTGGGGCAAAATGAGGTTTTTGGTGATTTTGATGCATTGGGTAAATGCATGTTGAATATGAGATTGTTTTTTATTTGTATGGAGTCTATGTATTATGTTTCATGGATTGCATGTGGCTGAATCTTCTGATTTTCGGGTTTTGGATGAAATTTTCTAGGTTTTGGAGGTTGCTGTTTGAATTTGTGTTAGACGTATGTTTTTGGCACCGGGCGTGCATTCATCAGAGGTAGCCATTTCCTGATCACGCCAGGCGCGAGATTAGTCGCACCGGGTGTGATTTGAGATGGGAGTCTCTAGATGAGTCACGTCAGGCGTGAGGAGAACTATGTCGAACGCGATATCAGATAGTGACTCTATATGACATTTTACTGATACGGTGCTAGGCATAGGGTGGGTGCGTCGAGCATGGAGATCCCTGTAAGTCTCTATCTAAATGACGCCAGGCGTGGTAATTCTATGCCGGGCGTGGAAGAGCCTTAGAGCTCTTAGGTTGGATTTAGGCTGGGCGCAAGCTGACTTGCGTCAAGCATGAGTGTGCTTGGTGTTATGATTGAATATGATGCCTACTCATGCTTTAATGTTGAAGTTGGACCATGTTTGTATGATATATGATGAAAATTGGTGCTTGATGCATATGTATGCTTGGTGATGATATATATGAATGTTTAAAACATGATTTGGTTTGTACTTTCATATGAGGATGATATTGATCATTATGGTGGATTGACCATGTATGATGTATGATGCATTAATATTGCATGTGATGCCTTATGGCATGTGTCTAGCTTAGGACTTAAGGAGAGGGAAAATGTTTTCAAACTGGAATAGCTCACACAGAGTCTCTTGAGAGTAGTGCTTTGATAAGCCACTGAATTATACTAGAGTGGTGCTTGGATAGGCCACTGGTTTTGGGTGATAGCGGTGCTTGGATAGGCCACTAGTTTGGGTGAGTCTCCTCTAAGTCCTTAGCTAGTGTTAGACCGGGGTATGAGGTCGAGGGTTATTCTTTTAACCAAGTACTGAGGAAGGTGTGTGGTTCCTTGCGGATAGTCGGTGGGCAAACTCCACAAGTGACTTGGTAATGCATGCCAAGGTCGTGATAAGCATGTATCCAACTGTGTTATACCTGACGGTAGAACCGAACTTCCAAGTGTGTAAGTGACATCATCTGAATAAACTTGAGTGGGGATTAATATCTCGGTTAGCTATGATCGAGAGGGCGCATTGGGCGAAAACGATTGGGGTGGTTTTGGTAGGATGAGACGTAACTTATATTGCTCTATTATTGAGGAGATCTCCTAGGTGAATGCGTGACGACGCATTAGATGATTGATATGCATTGATATCTGTCATGAGTTTCTATGGTTGCATGATTTCTATTATGATGAAGTGTATGGTGTTTGACTTCATGGTTGGTGAGTTGATGATTGAGTGGGATAGAAGTCCCTTGGGACATGATTGGATGAATATGTATAGATTCTTATTCTATACTTGTTTGGTTGTTTATTGAACTCTAGCTTACCCTTTTGTTTCCATGTGGATGGACTGTGATGATCATACTGTGTATGGGAGCAGGTCAGGGTCAGGTTGGAGCTAATTATTGTGACAGCTGCAAGATGTGGAGTTTTGTTCTAGTGTCAGTGTTACCATCTTGGGTAACTGTTTGATTGTACTTGATTGGCACTGGGAGAGTATGGATATTTTGGATGACTGTATGTATATAGTATTATGATTTGTACATAAAAACGTAATTTATTATTATTTATATATATATATATATATATATATATATTTGGTTATCTAGTTAACATCTTCTCTTAGTTCACTAGTGTATTTAGTGTGATTCTAATGAGTGTGGGGACCATGACGGGTCGTTACACATGTATACAATAATCCTACATAATCTTATGTCTTAATTTCGATCAAACACATCGATACAAACTACACGTAATACCATTGCCATCAACAAAAAATCACGCCATCTACTCGCAGCAGCTCCTTAAGCCTAACCTTAATTTACTCCTACACAATGTATGATTATCGCAATTCAAACCATCATGGAAATAGAAAGGGTAAGCTAGAGTTCGAAAACATGTACATATAGAAAACAATCATATAATATATAACATCACACCACAACTATACATGAAAGCTACAACACTTTAAACAAACGTGTATCTCATCCAAGCCATGTCACACAAGACATCCAACAAGGCACATGAACATACCATAACATACATCATATGCAAACACCTCAACTAATACGTTGTCATGCATTCACCTATAGAGATTTCTTAACAACATGAGCAGTTTAAGTGATTTCCACCCTACCAAACTAACTCAATCGTTTTCACACCTGAAGAGTCAACTCGATCACAACAAATTGGGATACTAATCCCTCTTCTAATTTCTCGAGTCTCATCACTCACATTAGGAAAGTCTAGTTCCACAATTAGGAGTGGTATAGTTGGGTATAGGCATACCATGACCTTGGCATGCATTATCAAGTCAAATATGGAGTTAGCCCACTAGTCATCCTCAAGAAACCATGCAACCTTTCTAGGTACTTGGTTAAGGGTTGTAGCCCTTAACCTCTTACATTACTCAACCACTAACTAAGGACCTAAAGGAGACTCAAAACACCTTAAAAACCCACTCTAAGAGACACATATACTTAAGGAGGGTTTTCCAATAGTGGCCTACCCGAGCACCACTTCAAGATACCTATGTGGGATCTTTAGTTTTCAAAAAAATTTCCTCTCTTCAAGTCCTAAGTTAGCCAACATGCTCTGATGCCACACCACATTCTCAACATTTATACCTCACCATACATCTACTATATACATCACATCCAATTAATGCAGATAGAGGTCAACAACATCAATTATGTATAGCATACCAGTGTTTAACACCTCAACCAAGAATAGCAAACAAATGCTTAACATTAATTCATCTAAGTATAACACAT